AACATCATATCATAAATTTTCACAAGAATAATCTGGTTTTCCTGTGAAATATATGGGCTTATGTAAATAATCACAAATTTTATCAATTCTTTTTTCCTCTGTTACTAAACATCTGGTTTGGGAAGTGGTTTTGGGTTGGAAAGCTCTTGTAAGACTGAAAATTTTAGAAATTATTGTCAATTCTATAACCTATAATTCTGATTGGTGCCATTTTCAAAAAAGTCAGGGAGGGGGTACAGAGAGGGTAGATACAAGGAAGGAAAATTTAAAAATGTGCATTACAGTTTTTCTTAGAACAAGATATTGACAGTTTAGTGGTATTTTTAATTAATATTGCTATGAAAGTATTATAGTTTGTCATTTTAGTTCAAAACTATAAGAGTTTTAATTTCCTGAGAGAGATAATATGAAAAGATAGAACAAAAAACTCTCCTAAGATCTCATTCCATAAAAAAAAGAGCCCTACTTCCATTTTTACCTATTATGAATGGCATCTCTAAGTCGGGTATTTTTTAGGCTCTCCAGTTGTTGATATCACATAATACAAAAGGAAAAAATCTTATTTATGCTTGAAGGCTGTTGCTGTGGCTGGTGGTGGAGACCACCTCCCTCTAAAGATGTTGAAAATGCTGAAAAGTTGTTTTCCCACTCTCTGTCACCACTAAAACATGAACATACAATGCAGCCTTGGTCAATAGGACCTGAGGTAAGTTTGCTGCAGGAATTCTGGAAAAGATTTTCTTTTCTTACTCTTCATAACTTGACATTTTGTTTCTACATATTATTTTTAGAATAGCTGCATTCAACTGTTAAAACAAAACAAAACAAAAACCTAGACAGACTTTTCCCAGAAGCCTCTCTCTAAAATCTCATTGGCCAGAATTAGGTCTCAAGTCTTTCCCTAAGCCAATTTCTGGCAAGAAAAATATTAATTTCCACAATTAGCTTAGATTAGTTAATGTTCACTCACTGGAGCTGGGGAGGGGGTTAGCCTCTATTGAACCATTACACCACCTGCTATGGGAACATAATGGAGATTCTGTTAATTAAGAATGAAAAGAAAGTATTTATCTGTCACAGAAAACAAGCACTAAGTGAAGTGACACTGAAGAGTTCAGAGAAAGGAGAACTTGTGGGATAAAAAACTCAGAAAAGACTTTTGCAGAGGCAGTAGAACTTGAACTGGGCTTGGAATAAAAGGGAACTGTTATCCAGAAGGAAGGTATGGGGACGCTGTGCAGAGAAAAGAGCTTAAGCAATGGAATAACTGTTGTTACAAGACATTTAATGTGTTCAAGTTACTGTTGCTGTGTTATAAGCCACTCCAAAACAAATACTGTATTATGTTATTGATTCTGTGGTTCAGAAATTTGGAAAGAGTACAGCAGAGATGGAATGTCAGTTGAGAGAACTGAAATCTGGGAGTGACTCAACACCTATGGGCTGAAATATTCTAGAGGCATCTGTAGTCTCATGCCTGGTGGTTAATGCTGGCTGTGAGCTTAGACTACAGATGGGTTATGGGTTGTAATACTTATACACGGCCTCTCCACATGGCTGTCTCTCCATATGAACTAGTTTGGGCTTTCTCTGCATGGAGGCTAACTGCAAAAGTGGGTATTGCAAGACAGCAAGGTGGGAATGTACAGGATTTTGTCTTGAAAGTCACATGCTCACCATACTTTATTATTTGAAGAAGTCAAAAAGACCCACCCAGGCTCAAGGGGAAGAAAAAAATCCCAAGACTGGATAGTAATAATGTCAAGATCACATTGTATTAAGAGCATGAGGAAGGGGTGCATGTGTGGCTCAGTCAGTTAAGCAGCTGGCTTTGGCTCAGGCCATGATCTCGTGGTTTGTGGGTTTGGGCCTTGCATCAGGCTCTGCACTGCAGAGTCTGCTTGGGATTCTCTCTCTCTCTCTCTCTCTCTCTCTCCCTCCCTCTCTCTGCCCCTCCCCACTTGTGATCTCTCTCTCAAAATAAATAAACTTTTTAAAAAAAGAGCATAAGGAATAGGCAATATTGTTGTGATCATTTTTGGAAACTCAATCTGCTACAGAATGAAACTTCTTCTAAAGTCTCAAAGCTGAGAACAGGAGGTTCTTTGTCTCCCTGTGTCTAAGGAAACCTTGCAAGTCATTCATTTAGGACTTGCTTAAGAGGTGGCCAAACTGATCTGGTGACTGTAACCAGATCACAAACAAAGTAAGAGAATGCCAGACAGTAATTAGAGGATTAATTGAAGAGAATTTGTAGATGTAGAGAGAGTTGTGGTTTTTCCACCAGTCCTCACCAAGAAGAGGGGAACTGAGTTGTCCAACACCTGCAATTCTAAAGCTAAATGATGCCCCCCCGCCTTACAGAGATTAGGAGTATGTACAAGCAAGTCAGATGGATGATTTACTCCCAGCCTACTGAGTGGCAGAATTTTGTAGGCTCAAACCAAGTCCACCTAAATGAAATGCAAGATAGTACTTGGAAGATCCTCAAATGTGTCTTTGAAGATGAGTCATAGTCATTTTTATGAGAGTGCCTAAAAACAAGGTTTACCTCTCACTGGGAGAACTCTTAAGGGGAGGAGACTGGTCAGAATAGACTCTGCAATGACTAGGATCTTGAGAGAGATCAAGAGTTGGTCAAGAAGTATGACAGAGAGGACATCTGACAGTCAAGAGACTAGTACAAAGCGTACCTTTGAAATACAATGTTTTCTTACATTTTCCTTTTCCTGACCCAAAAGGAGCAGAGTCAAGGTGGCAGGGGCAAGAAGAGTAAAAGAAGAGGTTAGTAGGAGCAGGTCCGGTGCCTGTCTTTTCTAAAGCATGGTTCTCTAGTTTTTCCTTTAGTTCTATACGCATTCTCAGCTCCTATCCCCACCCCATTGACTAGGCAGAATCATTTTGTTTTAAAGGTTGCTGCTTTCTCTGTGCTTCTGACCCAAATATTTTTTTTTATCTTTATTTATTTTTGATAGAGAGAGAAACAGACAGAGTGTGAGCAGGGGAGGGGCAGAGAGAGAGGGAGACACAGAATCTGAAGCAGGCTCCAGGCTCTAAGCTGTCAACACAGAGCCTGATGCGGGGCTCGAACTCATGGACCGTGAGATCATGACCTGAGCCGAAGTTGGATGCTTAACCAACAAAGCCACCCAGGCCCCTATGACCCAAATATTTCTAACCAATACAGATACAAAGAGTATTAGGAGATTGAGGAGGATGTATAAGGGCAAAACAAGAGAGTTTTCTTAGGAAAATCAGTTTCTTATTTTTGAAATATTTGGATATACCTCTCCTATATCATGACATTTCAGTCAAGATATCAGCACAGCTGCTGTCATCTGAAGGCTGCAGGCTTCGCTGGGACTGAAGAATCTGGTTTCAAGGTGCTTCTACTCTCACACACAGTGAAGTAGTTTTGGTGGTTAGCAAGAGGCTCTCAATTCCTTGCCACGTGAAATGCTCTATGGGACTGCTTGAGTATCCTCCCAACATGGCAGTTGACTTCCTACAGAGCAAGTGACCCAAAAAGGAGCAAGTCAAAATCTTCAACATCTTTTATGACCTAGCCTGGCTACCCAAGTCAACACTATTTAGCGCGAGAGGGAACTTTACAAGGGCATGAATACCAGGAGGTAAAAATCATTGAGGGCCATCTTGGAGGTTGGTGATCACATCACATGAAGTCACTGACTTCATGGACTTATTATTACAAAAACTACACAGAAACAGTCATATTTAAACTTTTAAAAAAAAGTTAGAAATGACAACATGACACAGCTGTATGTTTAATTTACCTGAATCTTGTGAAGCCCCAGTGTGTTGAATCAAATTGAAAACCATCATTTGTCAATGGTCTACTACATTTCCATTTTCTGTTATTCTTTGTGACTAGTATCCTTACGGGCATCTCTAAGCAAAAAGAGTAATAGCTAGTTCCTTTTCTCCCACCACTTTCTTCACACACTTTGCTGTCAGCTGAATAGGAAGCAACTCAGGGAGGTAACTTGTGGGGAGAAATAAACTTTGGCCAACGGTTAAACTGGAAAACTCACAATCAGCCACTAACATCCCCCTTAAAAAATCACAGCACAACAGCTGGCATGTGTATCTACTGCTACTATACTACTAAATCTTCAATGATGGCTCTAATTTTTTAAACTTTTGCCTCACTGTCCAGATGGAGGTTAAAGAACATAAATCTGATTGTCAGAGCTAAATTCAAATTGCTGACTACTATTAATTAAGCGACCCTTGGTAAATTAGGTAATCTCTGGGAATTTCAGGTTCCTTATCTAATGTGAATCCACACCCATTCTATGACTGAAAGTTTGGTCTTGAAAGTGTGACTGCTGGATGCATATTTTCCTATCATCCAGCTGCCCTTCAGTGACACCCCCCCCCCCAGCTTCTTCTCCTTTTCTAAACCTAGTGCTAGTCTGGATTTGGATGCTAAAAAATCTCAGAACTTTGTACAAATCACTTAACCCCAATGAACCAGTTTGCTCATTTAGAAAACAGTAATATAATATTTGTCCTAAATTCACAGCTTTAATTTGAAGATTATATTAAATAATGGGTGTCAAGGGCTTGTGAACTGTAAAGCCTGAAGACGTTTTTCAATTTTCTTCCCAAACTGTCAATACATGCAGACATCTTAAGTTTTATTATAAAAGCAACATCTGCATGCACACAATTTACAAAACTCTTAAAAATGCTTATCTAGTAGTTAAAATCATTTGTAAACATTTCCATCAGTCAGAGATTTAAAGTAACACATTAATATTACATTTTTTTACTGTAAACAAACTCAGTAAAAAACAAAAAAATCTTTGTATTATGGAAAATTTCAATTTTATACTCAAGCATAGGGATAGTATTGTGAACTCTCAAATACCCAATCCCCAGATTAAACAATTACCAGCTCTATTTCATCTAAATGCTTCACCTCATCCCCAGTTATTTTGAAAGCAAACCCCAGATATATCACTTCATCCGTAAATATGTCGGTATCTATCTACAAAAGGTAAGAATCTTTAAAAGCATAATCACAATGCTAATATCATATATAAAAATTAACAATAATTTCTTTTTTATTATTAAAATTTTTTGTTTATTTTTGACAGAGAGAGAGAGAGAGAGAGAGAGAGAGAGAGAGAGAGAGAGAGGGAGAGACGGAAAAAATATGAGTGGGGGAGGGGCAGAGAGAGACAGAGAGAGAGACACAGAATCTGAGGCAGGCTCCAGGCTCTGAGCTGTTAGCACAGAGCCTGACGCGGGGCTCGAACTCACCGACCCCGAGATCATGACCTCAGCCCAAGTCGGACGCTCAACCGGCTGAGCCACCCACGCGCCCCACAATAATTTCTTAATATCATCAAATATCCAGTGTTCAGATTTTCTCGAGAGTCTCATGGTTTTATGCAATTTTATAACTGCACGTTTAACTTGACTCTGTCAACACTACACCTGGTCTCCCTTCACCGTCCGGGTCGTTCCGCTTCCCCTGCCGCTCGCCCTCCTCCAAGGTCCCTGTTGCAGTTTTCTTTCAACCCCACCAGACGTGGGGAACATCTCTGGAACCCTGGAGACGATCGCCCGCGGAACCGAAGTCGCGCCTCCTCTGCGAGTTCTGGTGGGAGTTCTTTTTCAATTGCACTAAGAGCCGTGTCTGCTAACCGATTGGCAGGGGAAACCGGAAGCGCTTGTGAGTTTGTAGAGCGGTTGAAGAACTGCCACGAGAAGAAGGGAAGGACCTGGTCCGCTGGTTTTCATCGGGACTGGAGCTCAGAGGAGCCTGGACCGCAGTATTGATGGAGGGTGGGACGGGAGGTCGAACCAGCAGCGCGCTTTTCGCGGGTTTCCGGGCTTTGGGGCTTTTTAGCAACGACATTCCACACGTGGTGCGGTTCAGTGCTCTGAAGCGCCGATTCTATGTGACGACCTGCGTGGGCAAGAGCTTCCACACCTATGACGTGAGTGACTTCTTCCTTCGCCAGCCTCCCGGGAACCACCCTCTTAGCCCCCAGCTGAGAGCTGCCTCAGCTCTCTCCAGGGGCAGTCCTGCTCTGCTCCCCCACTGATCAAGGGCTTGCGTTTCTGCCGTCTCTTCCCTAACTCCTACCTGTCCAGTTTCATCACGACTTCACATCCACGTGCTGTTGTTGTAGCCCTTGCAATCCGCTTGTGGCGAGTTTCGGAGGCTGTCCAGCTAGGGAAAAGTACCAGAGAACATTTCAGTTCTATAGCAATGTATTTGTTCAGTAAATATCCGTTCAGGTTCCCTTGAAGATGTAAACGTGATTAAGACCAGTTTCTGCCCCCTCTTAACGAGAAGGACTTGTAAGACATTTTATTGTGCAATTTCTGACACGCTGGATTAGAAATTCAGACTAAAATACATTGGAAGATCTTGGAGGGGGTGAGCATCTATTTTCTACTAACATTTGAGGGTCTCGTACGGTGCTTCTTAGTCTAAGCCTGGCAGCAACTTCTTTGTGAGATATGTATCGTTTACCGTTTTCCGTAGCACCTTGTATAAACTAGGAAACAATCTCAGAAATTAAGTTATTTGTCCCAGGGCTTCCTGCTTGTTAGTGATGGTTTTTCTCCTTTAATTTCTTATGAATCATAGTCTTTTGTTGCTGTTTACTTTTTCCCCTTCATCTTCTCCGAAGGAATGTATGCTCTGTGAAAGCAGGGAGCTTTTCTTTATGATAAAGATGATAATAGCCAGTGTTGATGAAGCACTTTTTGTGGAAGCTGAGCTGTGAAGTTGCATTCTTTTAAGGATTGTGGGAAGCAAATGTGTTAGTAGCAAGAAGAGTTGGCTGTTGGTAGCTGGTTGAGTTAGTGGAAGAGGAAAGTGAGGGACATGCCCAAAGTGGAGATGGTGCTGGTGATGGCAGCTAACGTTTATTAAACGTTAATTATGCCTGGCTCCGTTAACACATTTTGTACATTGAATACTCATAACAACTCCATAAAGCAGGTACCTATTTTATTTAATTTTTTTTTAAGTTTATTTATTTTGAGAGAGAGAGAGAGAAAGCACGCAAGCACGGGCACGCTAGTGGTGAAGGGGTAGAGAGAGGGAGAGAGAGAATCCCATTTGGGCTTTGCACTGACTGTGAGGAAGAGGGGCTCCATCCAATGAACAATGAAATCATGACCTGTGCTAAAATCAAGAGTCGGATTCTTAACCATCTGAGCCACTCAGGTGCCTGGTACTTATTTTAATTCTTATTTTACAGATGAGGAGGAATTTGAGACACAGGGAGACTGATTAATTTTGTCAAGGTCATGTTGCTGGATCAGTAACCATAGATTGGGATCAGCTAATTACAGCCTGCAAGCCAGTCCTATCCTGCATTTGTTTTTGTATATCTGTGACATTTTTATCTTTTTGAGTTTAAGTGTTTTGAGTTTATTTGTTCGAGTTTATTCTAATATAATGATCTCTAAGTAAAATTTTCCACAGTAGTAGAATACAATATAATTAAATTTTGCATGGTATGGAGACCTGTGTGTGTTTACATTTAAGAAATATAGGATATGTAAAAAAAAAAAAAAAAAAAA